TAAATCCTAAAAGAATAAGGGAGAGATGTGTGCGTGGAAAAGGCGCAACTATAAGATGAAATGAAACTCTTTCTCTTCCCAATCTCACGCAAACATCAACCTTCTTCTCTCTCTTTCAAGACTTGATCAACTGCGTGTTTGTTTCCTTTATTTGCTTCCCGGGAACTTCGAGTCCCATCAGCAAAATGGAGGGAAACGATTTGGAGTTTGCAGTTAATGGAGAGAGATTCATTGTTAACTCTGTTGATCCTTGTACGACTTTACTCGACTTCTTGCGATCCAACACTCCTTTCAAGAGTGTCAAGCTCGCCTGTGGGGAAGGTGATATGTTTTTCTTTTTACGGAATTAGTGAAATTTGAGGAACATATATAGGAGAAACCCAAATCTGAGTTTTGTATTTTGTTTCCGACAGATTTAATGTCTGACTAAATTCTGGTTTAGTGCAGGAGGGTGTGGTGCTTGTCTCGTTGTACTATCGAAATACGATCCAGAGTTAGATCAAGTGAATGAATCTTGTATAAACTCTTGTCTCACGCTTCTCTGCAGTGTAAATGGATGCTCCATTACCACATCAGAGGGTCTTGGGAACACAAAGAAAGGATTCCACCCAATCCACAAGAGATTCGCCGGTTTTCACGCCACTCAATGCGGTTTCTGCACCCCAGGGATGTGTATCTCTCTCTACTCAGCTCTTGCAAATGCTGATAACAACACCTCCAAAGATTCTCCTCCTTCTGGATTCTCCAGCCTCACGGTTTCTCAAGCTGAGAAATCCGTCGCTGGAAATCTTTGTCGATGCACTGGTTATCGTCCCATTGTCGATGCTTGTAAGAGTTTCGCTTCTGATGTTGACATTGAGGATTTGGGGTTCAATTCCTTTTGGAGAAAAGGAGAAAGCAAAGAGGTTATGTTAAAGAATTTGCCTCCTTACAACCCAAAAGACCATCTTGTAACATTCCCTGAGTTCCTAAAGAAGAAGAGTAAAGAGATAAAGAAGCTTCAACATGGTTTGGATCATTCAAGGTATACTTGGGCCACTCCGTTTAGCGTAGCTGAGCTTCACAACATATTGGAAGCTGCTAATTCTCGAGACTCGTTGAAGTTTGTTGTGGGCAACACAGGGACAGGTTACTACAAAGACGAGGAAAAGTTCGATAGATATATTGATATTAGCCACATTCCGGAGATGTTGATGATCAAGAAAGATGAGAATGGAATTGAAATCGGAGCAGCCGTCACAATCTCGAAAGTTATTGATGCTTTGAAGGAGGAAAGCAAATCTCCCTATATTTTCAAAAAAATGGCGAATCATATGGAGAAAACTAGCAATCATTTTATCAGGAACTCAGGGAGTATTGGAGGTAATCTAGTCATGGCACAGAGCAGAAAGTTTCCTTCTGATATTACCACTCTTTTGCTCGCTGCAGATGCGTCGGTGTATATGTTAAATGGCAGGAAAACTAAGATGGTTATGCTTTGGGAGTTTCTTGAATTGCCTCCGGTTTTAGACTCTAAAATAGTTCTTTTAAAGGTTGAAATTCCATCATTGACTGATTCTTCTGGTGATGACACCGAACTGCTCTTTGAAAGCTATCGAGCTGCACCTCGCTCTATTGGAAACGCATTGCCCTATGTGAGCGCAGCTTTCTGTGCACTAGTGTCTCACCAAACACCATCAAGAAGAGGTGTAATGGTGGATAAATGCTTGTTGGCATTTGGTTCTTATGGCGGGGATCATTCAATCAGGGCGACAAAAGTCGAGAATTTCTTAATGGGTAAAGTACTCAGCTACAGTGTTCTATATGAAGCTGTGAGTTTACTTAGAGGAATCATAGCTCCCGGCAAAGACACCTCGCAACCCGAGTATAGGAAAAGCTTGGCCGTTGGATTTCTTTTTAACTTTTTCTATCCACTTATCGAGAGTGGCCATAGAATATGCAGTCTGGATTCAGGGGAAAAGCATAGCAACAGCCATGTCGATCCTGCAAAATCTCTTCCCTTCCTCTCATCGGCTCAGCAAGTGTTCGTAAGCAATGAATTTCAGCCTGTCGGTGAAGCGGTTAGCAAAGTTGGGGCTGCATTACAGGCTTCTGGTAAGCTCTTATTCCTTCTGTATTGTCAGTTTTAGTAACTTGAATTTTGCTTAAGCCACGTGTAAAGATTCAGATAGAGTATACAAATTCAGTATAGGTCCTTACATGAGCTTTCTCTCAGGTGAGGCTGTTTTTGTTGATGATATTCCGACTTTACCGGACTGTATACATGGAGCATTCATTTATAGCACAGAGCCTTTGGCTAAGATTAAAAGAATAAGCTTCAGAGAGAACGTGACTCCTACTGGAGTTTTTGCAGTTCTTACTTTCAAGGATATTCCACAACAAGGACAAAACATTGGTTCCAAGACCCTTTTTGGTCCGGGACCTTTATTTGCAGATGAACTAACTCGATGTGCTGGTCAAAGAATTGCTCTTGTGGTAACTCCAGCTTTCTCTTCTTTTTATTCATCCTCGTCTTTCTTTTCATATTTAATAAAAAGAATGCCGTATCTCAGGTTGCAGACACACAGAAACATGCAGACAGGGCAGCAAAACTTGCAGTAGTTGAGTACGATATACAAAACTTAGAAGAACCAATATTGAATGTCGACGATGCAGTTAAAAGATCTAGCTTTTTCGAGGTTCATCCAATGTTTTACCCTGAACTAGTCGGTGATGTTTTAAAAGGAATGGAAGAAGCTGAGCGAAAGATACTCTCGGTTGAGGTATCGCAACTGTCTTTCAAGATCTTTACCAGCAAATTATTATTGTTACATCCTCAGGCTCATCTGATATGATGTTTTTGAAACTTGGTTATGTATCCAGTTCAGACTTGGGTCACAGTACTTCTTCTATATGGAGCCACAAACGGCACTTGCATTGCCAGATGAAGACAATTGTGTGAAGGTATTCAGTTCATCTCAAGCACCGGAGTACGCACATGCGGTAATTGCTACATGTCTTGGCATTCCAGAGCATAACGTGCGAGTCATCACCAGAAGAGTTGGAGGTGGCTTTGGCGGTAAAGCTGTAAAGTCGATGCCTGTGAGTACTACCAGAAGTGGTTTGTTTCCTGGTTCCTTTTCTGAATCAAGATCTTTAGGAGAGTTTTATAATTTGGCTTCCCCCTTATAAATGCTCATTGAGATGATGTTTCAGGTTGCAACAGCATGTGCGCTGGCTGCTCACAAATTGCGGCGTCCTGTTAAGATGTATCTAAATCGAAAGACCGATATGATAATGGCTGGAGGAAGGCATCCTATGAAAATAACTTACAATGTCGGTTTCAGATCAGACGGAAAGCTCACAGCACTGGAGCTGACATTGCTAATAGATGCAGGGATTGAGCCAGATATAAGCCCAGTCATGCCACGGAATATAATGGGTCCGCTAAGGAAGTATGATTGGGGAGCCTTGTCGTTTGACATAAAAGTGTGTAAGACGAATCTCCAGAGTAAAACAGCAATGAGAGCTCCCGGGGAAGTACAAGGTTCATACATTGCGGAAGTAATTATCGAAAATGTAGCCTCTTCTCTTCGAATAAGTGTTGATGCAGTGAGAAAGATAAACCTTCATACTTACGATAGCCTCAGAAAGTTCTATAAGCACATTGCCGGTGACCCTGATGAATATTCACTACCTTTGTTATGGGACAAATTAGAGATATCTTCAGAATATAAGGAACGAGCTGAGATGGTGAAGGACTTTAATCTCTCTAACATATGGCGAAAGAGGGGGATTTCTCGTGTACCCATTATCCATCAAGTTATGCAGAGGCCGACCCCGGGAAAAGTAAGCATTTTGAGCGATGGTTCTGTTGTGGTCGAGGTTGGAGGAATTGAGATAGGGCAAGGCTTGTGGACCAAAGTACAACAAATGGTTGCTTATGGTCTCGGTATGACCAAATGCAAAGGAAGTGAAAAGCTGATGGAGAGAATACGGGTTGTCCAGTCCGACACACTCGGTTTGATCCAAGGAGGTTTCACCGCGGGTAGCACAACATCCGAGAACAGCTGTGAAGCTGTTAGGCTTTGCTGCGTAATCTTGGTGGAGAGGCTGAAACCTACAATGGATAAGATGACGAAGGAGAAGTCAGGTTGCGTGACATGGAACATGCTCATTCAACAAGTAGGTATCCTAGTAATTCTGATAGTATTTTAACAAAGGCTCTGCTCGAATAACCGTTAAGTTTGAATTCTTTATCATCAGGCGTATGCTCAGTCTGTGAACTTATCGGCAAGTACATTGTATAAACCAGAGTTGTCTTCCATGGAATACCTCAACTATGGGGTTGGGGTCAGTGAGGCAAGTCACATGGCAAACTATTGTTAATTTAAATGTGAGAACCAAATAATAATATGATCCTAATTGCAGGTGGAGGTGGACCTTATGACAGGAAGAAGCCAGATTTTAAGATCTGATATTATTTACGACTGCGGAAAAAGTCTTAATCCTGCAGTTGATTTAGGGCAGGTTAGTAGTTAAGCTACTCCACATATTTTTCTTTCTCCTTGTCTTTGAGTCATTTACTGAGCCAAGCAAAAAAACTGGATGGTTTGTGAGAAGATTGAAGGAGCGTTTGTGCAAGGAATTGGGTTCTTCATGATGGAAGAGTACACTACTGATGAGAAAGGGCTTGTGGTGCAACAAGGCACTTGGGACTACAAAATTCCTACAGTCGATGCCATCCCCAAGCACTTCTACGTTGAGATTCTCAACACTGGACATCACAAAAACCGTGTTCTCTCCTCCAAAGGTACGCTGCGCTTTTTCTTACTGGAATATATCCAAAGCTGACACATATGCTTAATTACTGTGGTATGACTGCTTTCTTTATTCATCCATTTCCTGCTCCATGATTTATTTGGTGGTGTCTACTTTCGTACTCAACAACTTCTTCATCTGACCCACAGCTTCAGGTGAGCCACCTTTGCTTCTGGCAGCGTCTGTTCATTGTGCAACGAGATCAGCCGTTAGAGAAGCTCGAAAACAGTCCCTTTCATGGAACTGCAATGATGGGAATCGAGACGGACCTGATACGGATTTTGAGTTGCCAGTTCCAGCAACTATGCCTGTGGTGAAGTCTCTTTGCGGATTGTATAGCGTAGAGAAGTACTTAGAAGGAAAGATCTGTGGGAAATAAAGGCAAACTCTCATTGCTACTGCTTTAGAGTGGTAAGTACTACACTGTACACAGTACTGTTGTCAATAAGATTTCATATAGAGGGAAAATAAATATATAGGTTCGTATTTTACACATAACTAATGTTTTCGAAACCAAATCAAGAAACCAATCTAAACTTTTGTAGCTCGTTGGGTTGATCCAGTCGTCTACCAGCGGATCAATGAATGTTTTTTTTCTTTTCCCCCAACCAAGAAAGAAAGGGTTCGGAAGTCCAAACTCGAATTGCAGAATTTACCAAAAACAAGAATTACACGAACGAGACTTAGCATTTATTAGCATTATGCCTAAGAATTTAAAGTATGAAGTATAAAACAGAGCGAAATCAAAGAAAATATTCTTCAAAGTTTTATGAACTCGTCAAAAGTGTGTTGAAAAGACGACTGGCTACTTAGAAGGAGGCGATGAACTTCACTTGTATTGAAAAGGCAATTGCTGTTCAACCATACCTACTTGTTGAAGTATGAAGTTCTGGTCTTACCCAAACCAAACGGAATTGAAGAAGAGTCGGTTTAGGTGAACATGGAGTGTACCTTCACCT